ACACAACACAAGTGAGAGCTACAGCTGCGGAACACGCCGGAAGCTGTCGACAGCCTTGGCCCTGATCGGAAACCCTCAGATCCTTCTCCTGGTGAGCAAAAAATGCACATTATCCTACCAAGCTGAGACTAGTTACTGTTTAGTAAGTCATACAGCTACACTATAAATCACTGTATTGCATGTTGTCTTGAGTGTTTGCTCAGAGGGGTTTGAATGGGTAAAATGTTGCACACTTGTTACAAACACTTCTGAAATGCGTTGGTGTGCTGTTTGGCCAAAGTCTCATAGCATATCAGTTATTCTGACTTAAAATTTTGGCTCGGTGCATTGCACGATTGCATTTACCTGGAGAGTGTGTGGGTTTTGCATTAGGTTTTTGTTCTATAAGCGCAGAGAAACATCCCACGTGTTTCTTACTGTACATGTCTCCTCGAACCTCTCAGGATGAACCCAGCTCTGGAATGGACCCGCGTTCCAAACGTCACCTTTGGAAGATCATCTCTGAGCAAGTGATGGGCAAATGTGCTGTGGTCCTGACATCACACAGGTAATGATCGCTCCTGACTCACGCTGCATCGGCTCCTCCAAACAAATAGGTGGTAGTAATGACGCATTAAGGCAAAACTGAGTCTCGTAGACCAGGGGTTTTCAAGCTTTTTGATACTAAGAACATACAAATATGAAGGACATCTTTTGTAAATTATAAAGGCAGCTAAATATTTTCATGTACTGTATACAGACCTATTTGCACTGAGACAAATATTAAGCATAATTTTATTAAGACAGTAACTGGCCTTTATATTGTCATTGTTCTAAGGAACCCTCTTTTAGATGTTAGATATATGTATTGAAGAAATATCTTTGAATTTCTATTCAAATGCATTTGTATTTCACAAAACTGTATGAAGATTAAACATTACATATTATAACAAATGCAGAATTTAAATTTTTTTTTTGGAAATAAACATTTTACACTTTAAGTATATACAGTATATGTATGTATGTATATAGTAGTAAATAGTAGTATATATAAACATATTACCTTTAACCATTGTTTTGACATTACAAAAATGTAGTAAATGTAAATGTTTATATATATATATTGTTTTTTTTCTTCTTCTTCTTCTTCTTTTTTTATGTATTTGACAGTCCTAGAATTTGTATTACTTTTTTTGTTTTATTTTTCCTTTATAGTGGGCTTCTGTATTCAGTTATCTGTGGAAACTAGATACAATGAAAGTTTAAGACAAACTTTTAACTACTGGCTTTATGAAGAATTGCCTGAAACTGCAAATAGATTTTAAAAAGATCTGAAGTTTAAAGACAGTGATATATTATATACTAAGATGCTATGTATATCTTATGCTGTTTGTAATAAGTATGGTGCTTTTCTACAGAAAGTTTTTGTCAGTTTTGATGGGTTTGAGAAAGTTGAACGGAGAGTTTCAGCAGTATGTATTTGTGTCCTACAGCATGGAGGAGTGTGAGGCCCTTTGCACCCGTCTGGCTATAATGGTAAAAGGACAGTTCAGATGTCTCGGCTCCCTACAGCACATCAAAAACAGGTCAGTGGTTTATCTTTCTGTATCCTGTGTTTCCTCCTACCAATTATTTTTCATGGTTCTCACGTCTCCTTTTGTTTTCCACACACGTATTGTTGCTCTAGAGCCTGATATCTCCTGCAGACACTTCATAATTTTGTCCCTGGTGATAAAATAATCTCTGTACTTCTGACAGGTTTGGTAAAGGATTCACGGTGAAGATGTACTTAGCTGAAGCCTCCTGCGATGTAGATATGATCAGTAACTTCATGCAGCAGAATTTCCCCAGCACGTGCCTGAAGGTGAGAAACAGAGCACATCATAATGAAGTTAAAGTTATTGAAAAGTTCAAGTTATTGAAAAGTACGGTGTATTGACTTGACGGCAATATGCCATATCTCATTTCAAATAGAAATAGGATGTTTACTGAAAAGCCTTGAAGGCACAGCAGCAAACTTAAAACAGCAGGTTCATGGGTCAGAGTGTGGAAATGGTCATAAAAATGTAATTATGCCTGTTTTTGGGACAAAAAAAAACAACGTACTTACATTATTAGTAGCCCTAAAGGGGAAGAAAATCTTACAAATTTATGATGTGAGCAGTGAGCACTTAAAGTGGATTTTAAAAGTTAACATTGTCCATGTTCTGTTCATAAAGGATCATCACTCAAATATGGTGGAGTACCACGTGCCTGTTGCTCCCGGTGGTGTGGCTTCAATCTTTGGTCTGTTAGAGTCCAACAAGGCTGTACTGCAAATCAAACACTTCTCAGTCAGCCAGACCACTCTGGATGAGGTAAGATGCATAAGATGTTTTTGGGCATTATTTATTTACCCTCATGCTGTTGTTCTGTGGAACACAAAGGGAGATCTATTTGTTTGAAGAATTTTCACACAGCTCTTTTCCATACAACTACAGTTCATAGTGATTTGTCAAGATTTAACAGACACATAAAAGTAGTCCTTACACAATATTGTATACCTTTTGAAGTCGATGTGTGAGGAACAGACCAAAATACAAATTAAAGAGTAAACAAGTGAGTAGTTCTTGAATGTTTAGTGGCCAGGAAGGAAAGAAATGAAAAGAGACAAAGTGATGTGGTGACTAAATGATTGTCTTGACTTGTCTCTTTAGGTTTTCATTAACTTTGCCATGGGGAAGACGAACACAGACGAACAGGAAGTCACTGAAGGAACGGACATTGACAGTCTAGACTCGTACAATGCGTTGGACTGATGAAATACTTGCACATTATGGGATTTAATTAACCTCAAAAAGATATTAATTTAATACATAGGAAATCTTTTATAGGCTATATCATATTTTGGTGTTGTGATTTTTATGAAAGACAAAAAAAATCTATTTTGTATTAAATAATGAAGTCACCAAATACCTTATGGATAATTATGAAGGATTTATATGAATAATTAGGTGTTAATTAACTCTTTCTGCTCTTCCAAACTTGGGCTCAAATATTGCTCAACATTAAAGGAACTTCTTATGGAAGTTTGTTGCTATTTGTATCACCTTAAAAGGGTTCATATGCAGAGTTTACATTAGTTTACATAGTTTGATGCAATCCATTAGTCTTTCATTTGTCATCAAACAACTCTGCTGCTTATCAAAGAAAATTAAGTCATTTATTTACTAAATTGTTTGAAATTTGATTAGCTCTACCATATATATATATATATATATATATATATATTATATATTAATCAAAACATAAATAAAAGTACAACAATCTATATTAATAAATTATATGAATATTTATACAATTTATTAACATATTATTTTGATTTTCTGAAGAACATGAGTGAAGACAGAAATGCATTTGTCCATTTGCATGTTGTTCTTGGCGAATGCAAACTGTCAACCCCATGTTGGGAAGGATGTACAGCGGGGATCTGGCGTCATCGACCCGCTTTCCACCTCTTCACCCGTCTGACCTCTCCACTCTGATATTTGTTCCATTTTCAAAACAAAATATCTAGCTGCGTCTAAATATGGAACCGTGACATTTCACTTCCTCCTAGAGACAGGAAAACAAATTCTTTTAAGACACACTGGATTAATAATTCACCATCTGACTGAATCACACAACTGCCATCTGTGCACGCGTACATCAGGTGTTACCATGGTAAAAATGATTAATAATGGTTTTATAAATAAATAATCAGCTAAATAAAAAATTTCTATACAGCCTTGTGTTTTGCAATATTTTATTGAAATGAAAACACTTCACAGTAGTAGTAGATTAATTTAGCGAGTGAAAAAAGTGAATTTGCATTTTTTGTCTTGTAAAAAAATGTTTTATATATTTATAGAAAATCTACCATATATATATATATATATATATATATATATTATATATTAATCAAAACATAAATAATTTACTCAATACATAATTAAATATGTATGCAGAGTGAAGAGTCCATCCTCTTAAACTGCTGGCTGCATCGATGCAGCTCTTGTCTGGGGTTGATATAAATCACAAAGACCTTTTTGGCTCCAAGATATAAATGATTCTTCAATGTCTGCACATCTTCACTCTCATTAATATTTTCTCTGAAGGCACATCTCTTGTGCAAGAATGTACTAAATATTTCATCGGCCCTTTCCTCTGTCTGCTTCAAGGCACAGTTCCTCTTTTAAAAATGTACCAAGCTTATTTTTACATTAAAGCTATTTTTCAAATGCAGTTGTTGAGCGTTTGTCTTATTGAATGTAGTGCAATTGGTTCTTTATGTCATGAGTTGAGATATGCAATTTCTTTGCATAGAAAATTGAGCGCTGTGGAAATTATGAACTATCCAATGTTCAGACTGCATTTCAGGCTTGTTCTGTCTTTTCCATCCATCCATCCATCCAAATTTTTAACCCCTCACACAGTAGCATTTTAAAGCTAAATATCTCCACTACATTTTACAGATGTATTTTCAAAGCAAATTTGACAAATTTCTGGACTGAAATAGGTATAGGGTTAGAAACTGTACTTGAATTATACAAGAAGTAAATTAAAATGGAAATGATTAAAATCACTTGTACTATTGTAAAATAAATCAATTACACACTACCCATGGAAGTTAACTCTAATAACTGAAAATTATCGAGACATCATGCTTTTATAAAATATTTTGATTTTATTTGTTAACAAAATTCCCCTTTTTTTTAAATAGTAGTAATAGAAATTATGCAGTTATGTATTAACCCATATATTCACTTAATTGCAATATTGTGATAAAAGAAAAACAAGCTAATAAGATTTCCATCTAAAAGCTATTGGATAAAATAATATTTTATCTTTATCCATGTATGACTTACAGTACATATAGGATAAAATATATCATGCATAGAAGTTTTTATTCTAAAACATTTCGGATGCTTTATATTGAACTTCTATATTTGTGTAAATATAAGTAAAGCGCAGCACTTCAAAACCCCAGTTGACCAATCAGAGTGAAAGTTCGCTAAGCTCCTCCCCTTCGCTTCCGCGTGCCGTGAACTTCAAAACAGGTCTGTAAGTTAAAAACAAGTCTGTAAGAAATACTGTAATCGCTCTCTTGCTTTGTTATTATGGATCAAGAAAGATAATTCTGTCATACGGTCAAACCCTGTGACATGAACCAGGACTAGAGAGGCGCTTTTTTGCTGTGTTTAATGGCAGCTATGCTTAGTTTCATAATGAAAGCAGTTCAGACATCCTGGTTCTGACGTCTGAACACGCCAAAAACTGCCCAGTCCAAGTCATTTTGGTTTATTTTTGCAGCTCATCCCTTATGAGAGAGCCGGTGTGCCTTGAACATATACTTTGCAGGTAAAGTAAATTAGACATGTTTGTCGCTGCCATTGATTTTATTGATTCGCATAATGCTTATCTGAATCCGTAGTTTATTTATAAATTGCAGCGTTTTCTGGTCTATGACATGAATATGTCAAATGAACTGTATTTAATAAACAATGCAATCGCAATGAAATTAATGCAAGCTTTATTTTAGTTACTTTTCATCAAAGTATCCTCTATGTGCAACAGTGACAGCAAATCAGGCAGTGTTGCCAAGTTCGCAGTTTTCCCTCGGAATTTGGCTACTTTAACACCGTTAACTTGCCCCAGTTGCTTTCATGTCCACGGGTTGAAGCGACCCCAATAACGTGAAATTTGCCGAATATTTATGCGATATTTTACAAGGGGAGCCCCGCCAAAAAACGTGTATTTTACCCCCCGGAACGCGATTTTTAAAGCTAGTTTTGAGTAGCAATTGGGCGGGATTTGTTTTGGAAACTTGGCAACCCTGTAAGCAGGCGCATTTCAGCAGTCAGTTTAGAAGAATACTAAAAGTTTACTAGATATTCATATAATGATTCATCTCACGCTTTCTGCAGCACTTCCTATACAGGTGTTTTTGGCTTGTTAGGGCCCTTTTCATTAACTTTCAGCATCTCAAACTTGCATTCACCTTCCCATAATACTCTTTTCTAATCATTTACCATCCAGTTTTTAAGTTATTTTCCCAATTCTACCCTTTTCTTCAGATTTGCCAGCTTCAGATGTGGTTTTATCTTTGAAACTCTTCTTAAAAGGCCAGCGCCTCAGAGTCTTCTCTTCAGTGTTGCAGATGAAACTTGGTGTTTGGTGTGTGCTGTTCATTGAAGCTGCCAGCTGAGCATCAGTGAGGAGTCTGTTTTTCAAGCTAGAGACTCTGAAGTTCTTGCCTTCTGCAGTGTTGTGCATCTGGGCTGTCCACTTCACTCTCTGTCCTGGTTAAATACAGTTTGCTTTCTTCTTTCAAGGAGGTGGTACATGCGATGGCCTTTATCTCTCAAATGTACAATAGACTGATGAGCATATAGGGAAAGCTGTTTCTTTACAGCCCTTTTGAAGCCAAAATTCGACTTCACAAATGCGAGTGTGCTCAATACTCAAAAAACAAAAATTTTGTTGCAGTTTCTACACTTCAATAAGTAGCACAACCTTTTTAACTGCACTGAGATAATAAAAAAGGATACTTTAGTAATAAATTAATACATTACAGTACTTTTTTAAAGAATGATCTTGCAGGGTTGCACTATTGGCTGCTCAAAATGGGGCTTTTCTTTACAAATACAGTTACAAAGTTACATTGCCTTTGAGTTACAAAGCCATTATTTCAAACGGTTGTATTTTGCTCATTTATTATGGTTTCACTTTAATTTTGATCATTTAAAAGGTACCTTGGTTAACAGAAGTATCACTTTCAAAAACCATATAGTGTCTATATATATAATGTGTTTGTATATATATGTATATATACACACACACATACATACAGTGGGTACGGAAAGTATTCAGACCCCCTTAAATTTTTCACACTGTTATATTGCAGCCATTTGCTAAAATCATTTAAGTTAATTTTTTTTCCTCATTAATGTACACACAGCACCCCATACTGACAGAAAAACACAGAATCGTTGACATTTGTGTGTATATGTAGTTTAATTTTCACCACCTGCAAACTCACAAGGAGCTCATAAAAGGCACTTTACCTCATCGTTGCTTCACGTTTGCCCTCTGCTCATTTTGATTTGGTTACACCGTGTCGTCAAATCATGTCGCATAGCGTTGCACCTTGTCATTACTTCCTGTTTTTGGTTCGTCTAGAAGTATTTGGTCCGTGTTGCGTTCATATATCATTCAAACCGCACCAGAGTTCGTTTGGAAGCGGACCGAGACCCATCTTTTTAGGGTGCGTTCACACTTGTCATGTTTGGTTCGATTGCTCTGTTAGTGCGGTTCATTTGAGCATGTGTGAACGCTGCCATCCGAACTCTGGTACGCACCAAACAAATTTCCAAACAAACTCTGGTGCGGTTCGAATGATATATGAACGCAAAACGGACCAAATACTTCTAAACGAACTAAAAACGGGAAGTAATGACAAGATGCGACGCTATGCGACGTGATTTGACGACACGGTGTAACCAAAACAAAATGAGCAGAGGGCAACCATGGAACAACGATGAGGTAAAGTGCCTTTTATGAGCTCCTTGTGACTTTGCAGGTGGTGAAGATAAAATTATTTGTACACGCAAGAATGAGCGTGCTTAGTCCAGCAGACGGCATTAGGTGTGTTTAAGTTTAACGCATCTTTTGTTTGGGGTTTTCGGTGAGTTCCGTCACGATATACACATCATTCAAGCCGACAAATCAGGTTGTGAACGTATCACTATGCTTTTAGGTTTGGTGTCTTTAGGTTCGCTGTCAAAAATGCCAATATGAACGCTAAGTGGACCAGGACCAAATGTATAATTTTCCTTTTTGGTCCAGACCAAATGAACCAAACGAACCAACTAAGTTGTTCTCGCCCACTGATTGGCTAGCTATAGGAGCATGGGAAGCCGCTATAGCTGCTACATAGACCTTGAGCATGGATGGGGAGCGTCCCTTATCCAGCAGCTCTAGCAGAAAAGACCATGTTTTGGATTAAAAAAAAAAGGTCAATATTTTCAGATCTGTCAACTGTTCTAACAATTTTGGCCACAACTGTAATTGTTATTATTATTATTTATATATTATTATTTATTTATGTTTCATTTATATTATATATTATATATTTTGTATGTATTAAAAATAATCTATATTTAATATATAATCTTTCACTTTCAAAAGCCATATAGTTTCTTAATTACATCATAGACGACACGGTGTAACCAAAACAAAATGAGCAGAGGGCAACCATGGAACAACGATGAGGTAAAGTGCCTTTTATGAGCTCCTTGTGACTTTGCAGGTGGTGAAGATAAAATTATTTGTACACGCAAGAATGAGCGTGCTTAGTCCAGCAGACGGCATTAGGTGTGTTTAAGTTTAACGCATCTTTTGTTTGGGGTTTTCGGTGAGTTCCGTCACGATATACACATCATTCAAGCCGACAAATCAGGTTGTGAACGTATCACTATGCTTTTAGGTTTGGTGTCTTTAGGTTCGCTGTCAAAAATGCCAATGTGAACGCTAAGCGGACCAAGACCAAATGTATAATTTTCCTTTTTGGGCCGGACCAAATGAACCAAACGAACCGAACTACAAGTGTGAACACACTCTTAGCGGTCTCGGTCCACTTGTTTGGTGCGCACCAGAGTTCGGATGGCAGCGTTCACACTTACTCAAACGAACCGCACTAACAGAGCAATCGCACCGAGTTCGTTTTAATCAAACCAAACATGACAAGTGTGAACACACCCTTAGTACTTATT